TAGGGACCACCAGGTTATAGCAAAGGAGAAGCAATTGCACACTAACATAAGTCCTAGGACACAGGGCCATGGGCAACCATCTAGAGGCTGTGAATACACAGATGAAGCCAAGAGACACCACAGTGTCAATCAACCCAGAGACTTGAAAAAGAGGGCACTGTGACCAACTCATTCTAGGGGTAACAGCAACTAGATCCAAATTACAAACAAAACAAACCAAAAACAGAACAACAAATTCAGGCTAATTGCCTGTCTCTGTCATAAGGCTCAGTGCAAAATTTTTAAACAAAATAACAAACCAAACCCAGTAGCAGTGATCAAAAGTTAATACACCATGATAAACTGGATTTAACCCTGGAACAACAGGGTGGTGTTTCAGAGAAAGAAACACAGAGGAAAAAAAAAACAGCCCTTTGCATTGCTGATTCTGCTTTCTGGAATGCTCTTTCCCTGGCTGCTCAAGGGACAAATGCTTAATATTTAATGTCTCAGCTTAAAATCCCTTGTACTCAGAAAGACTTCACTGAGTCTTCTAGGCAACTAGATGCCATATTACTTGCTCTCTCAACATCCTATTCATTTCCTTCCTGGCAATTAAGCAATAGGTAGTTCCTGAGTTTGTGTTCCTGCCTGTTGGCTGTCTCTCAACCATAGCATGTGACCCTCTTGAGGCAGAGATCTTTTATCTATTTTACCTTTGTATCTTCAACATGGACAAAACACCTGACACGCAGTAGAACTTTACAGATATGGGTTGATTGTAATTCTAAGGATCATATGCAAGATACTCCAGATGGTGCCAGTCTGTTTTCACAAAATCTATTACTTCCAAGAGGAATGCATATCCGGCACAGGCAGATTTCCTTCAAAAACAATGCCTGCTTTTACTCCAGATGGGGCGACACTGCTCAGGTGTCTGCAAGTTCTCTCTGCAAGATTTAGAATAATTTTCTTTTGATTCAGTACCATTTCCTTCTTTAGGAGGACAGCCTAACAGAAGTGAAATATTAGCAGTGTTCAAGGACAGAACCCCTGTGCCCACAGTCCCTGCCACACTCTTGTAGAACGTCAGTCTAGTACCTCTCTCCAGAGAATGCATTTTCAGGAATAATTCAGTAAAGAAAAACACACAATGGCCAACATTGACTACACAACAGGAAGCATTTTATATGCATTTTGTGTTTAATTCACTGAGTCTCCAAATAATTCTATGAGGTACATACCATTACCACCCTCATGTTCCAGATGAGGAAAGCAAGGCCCAGAGGAGTAAAGAAACTGCTCCCATGTCACACAGTTGGTTCATGTTGGAACCTGATTCAAATTCATGGTATCCAATGCCAGAGCAAGGATATGTAAATATATCTATTATCTATATAAAGATATCCCTTGTGACAATATTTGCAGTAGTAGAAATCTGCGCACAGTCTCTTACTCCACTCACTTTCAATCTGTGGCTATAGTCACTTGAAATTAACCTCCAAGATTTTTCTACCTTATCACTGTTATCATCAGGTGAAACTTACCACTAGTTTGGCAAAGCAGGAAATCATTCCTTGCCTGTCCCCATGGTCTGGCATCCTATCTCTTCCTGTCATTTTGAAGCCAGAATTAGACAGGCAGAAAGGCAAGGGTCAGATCCAAAGAATGGAGGAAATGAAATGTTAATTCCTTCAGAATGCTTTCTCCACCCTATCAAGGTAGCTTCTCACCTTTTGACCATACTACCAAGCATCTCTTGGGCCTAGTCACATACAGAGGAAAGAGAGAGAGATAAGGAAAAGAAAGCAGAAGAACAAAGGAAGTCTATGACATATTTTTTTAAAGTCAGAACATCTCACTTCTTGGAATACCAAGATACCAGCTATCATTCCCTTGGAGAAGTCTATGTTATACATTTTTAAGTAAACCCTGCTTTATATGCTTGCCTGGACATGCTTCTCTAATATTATACTTCAACATGTGGGGAAGCAAGACTTGTCACTGGTAATCAATGGTTTCAATTTCTCCCTCTTTCAAATGCTTCTACCATGACGAGACCTGAT